GGGTCTGAAGAATGGTATTAGAAATGCTGCTGATGGCTCCCACAGTTTTACGAGTTGTTAGCCCTTGCCTAGACCCCAACTCAAAGGCATGTATTCATGCACTCATTCATTCTTTCACTCACGAGCTTTTATTGAGCACTTACTGTGTATCAGTCACTACAAGATAAATAATACATGGTTCCTCTTTGGAAGAGCTCAGAGCCTAAAGGGGAAGACAATGAAAAAAATTATAAATTACCAAAGTGGTAAGTGCAGTGGCAAGGACATCAACAAAATGCTCTGGGAGCCCAGAGAACAGAGCAACTAATTGTGCCTGGAGGAGCCAGGAAGTGACAACTGAACTGAGCCTTGAATGGCAAATAAGACCTCTGTGTGATTGTGCATGTGTTTATCTGTCTGGGCATGGCAGGGACGGGGAAGAGCAAAAGTGCTGTGAGAGAGGCTGAGGGCTGTTGCGGGCACAATCAATGTCCCTGGGGAAAGATAAGCTTTTCTTAAGTGAACAACCCCATCTAACATCCCACCTTCCTCCAGGGATGAGGGAATTTATATCAGGCATCCTGTATAGGATACCTCAATGTTAAGTCTTGAACTTAAAAGCAGGTGCATAATGATTTCTGAGTCCCCCAAAAGAACCTGGTATACTACAGAGCAGCTAAATTCCTCTTAAAATATAGGTAGTATGTGACGCCATCAAAAATTCCCAAAAAGTCTTTTTGAGGTAGGCTCGTGAGAAAGGTAAAGAGAATGGATGTTAGAACACAGAAGATAGTTTACCGCAAGGGTTTTAGAAGCCCACAAAATCTGTACAATGAACACTCGTACACCAACCACCTAGATTCAACAATTGTTAACTTTTTTCCAATTTATCACATTTGATTCACATGTGGATGTGTACGTATATATACATAGGAAACATTTTAAAGAAAATGACCAACATCATGATATTTTATACCGAAATACCTCTAAACACATGCCCCATATTAAGGATGTTTTCCTACATAACTGAACACCAGTCTCACACCTAACAGAATAAACAATAAATCCCTAATTTCTAAGACTGCATCCATATTTATTTTTTCCTGGATGTCCCAAATTATATTTTATAACTCTTTTTTTTAACAAAGCAAATATATATTTTTAATGGGTGGCATAAGAACCTTGGACTTCTCGGACATGGACAAGTCTAATTTCTACTTTAAACTGTATTTTGCACCTCGCCAGATTTCTCTGAAGCCTAAACTATCGCTTAGGGTTGTATAAGTACACACAAATGTGCAAGCAAAATGGGATTATTCTGCTAAGGAAAGCTAAAGAAAGAAGAGCCAGGATTTAGAAAACAGTGACATTCTAAGAACCTCGTCCCTTCAGGCCAAGTTTCTCAGAAAGGTTGGTCTGCTTTTTTCTAACAGAGAGAATGCAAGGATTAAATTGATCATAAAGCAACAATGCTAACAGGTGATAGTCAACTTTTCTTTTTGACACTCCATGGTGAACTTGGGTTTTTTAATCAGATGTTAGGAAATGGAAAAAGAGAAGCAAGAACATTCTGATTGCTTTTCAAAATCGTTTTCTCACACCTCTCCTCACCATCTCACACCACCCGGGATTCAATCAGGGCTGTGAAAAGTTCTGCCAGACTCCATGCCCCAGACACCAGGCATCCTCCGTTAAGGTGTGTGGCCTGAAGATGCTCTGAGTCCTGAGAACACGAGAAATATCCATTTCTACCAGGAGACCTGAAGCAACTGCTGAAGGGAGATGATTTTTTTTTTTTTTTTTTTTTTTTTGCTGAGGAAGATTAACCTTGAGCTAACATCTCTGTCAATCTTCCTCTATTTTATACGTGAGTTGCTCACACAGCATGGCTGATGAGTGGTGTAGGTTCAAGCCAGGATTCGAACCCACGAACCTGGGCCACCAAAGTGGAGCATGCCGAACTTAACCACTAGGCCATATGGCTGGCCCCAAGAAGACTTAATTATAGTATAACAAAAGGATTTGAGACAAAATGATAAATATTAAAAAATTTTTTAAATTAACTTCAATTTACAGAAAAATTGTAAATGTAGTACCAAGAATTTTGTTCCAGAACTATATGAGAGTAATTTGCCAAACTGATGTGCCATAATCCATAATACTTTACCCTCCTACATAACCACAATACAATCATCAAAATTAGGAAATTAACACTGATACATGCTACCATCTAACACTCAAATCCCATTCAAGTTTTAGCAATTCTTTCATAGCAAAAAGATTCAATTTGGAATCACACCTTGCCTTTAGTTGTCATGTCTGTTTAATCTTATCCAATCTGGAGGAATCCCTCTGTCATTACTTGACTTTTATGATCTCAAAACTTTTGAAGAATCTGGACCAGTTGTTTTGCAGAATGCCCCTCAGTTTTGTTTCTGTTTTGTTTTTTGAGGAAGATTAGCCCTGAGCTAACTACTGCCAATCTTCCTCTTTTTTCTGAGGAAGACTGGCCCTGAGCTAACATCTGTGTCCATCTTCCTCTATTTCATACGTGGGACGCCTACCACAGCATGGCTTTTGCCAAGCGGTGCCATGTCTGCACCCGGGATCCAAACCGGCGAACCCCGGGTCTCCGAGAAGCGGAACGTGCGAACTTAACCACTGCGCCACTGGGCTGGCCCTCAGTTTTGTTTTGTCAAATGTTTCCTCATGATCAGATTCAGCCTGTGCATCTTTGGCCAGAATATCAGAGACATGATGCTGTGTTCTTCTCATTGCATCTTATCAAGTGGCACACTATTTTAATTTGTTCCATTACTGATAATATTCACTCTGATTATTTGATTAAGGTGTTAGCTGCCAAGCTGCTTTGATGTAAAGCTACTCTTTTCCCTTTTGTGATTAATTAGTATTGAGTGGGGAGATATTTTGAAATGATGTAAATGTCCCATTTCCAATCAAACTTAGTTTATTCATATATTAATTTATATCATTATGGGCTCTGTTTCTATTTTATTCAGTGGTTTATAATCTGTTACTATCATTATTTATTTGACGATCAGATTGTCCCTGATTTGTCCAACAGCAGTTCCTTCAAACTGAGTCTTATCTCCTTTTGACAAGGCCTCACCATTCCTTGAACATTTCCTTTCTTTCTGATACAAAGCATTTTCCAGAATTATGTTGTACTTTTCAGGCTCAGCCCTGAATCAGCTGTTTCTCCAGGGATCCCTCGTTCCTTTCGGTGGAGAATGGTGTCTATAACGTAGGTGTGCTCCTTGTTCTCAGGGTATGGCAGCTTCCAGGAGCTCTCCCTGGACAGAACTAACTGATATATACATGCATTACTTTCCTATTGCTGCTGTAACAAATTACCACAAACTTAGTGGCTTAAGACAACACAAATTATTACCTTACAGTTCTGCAGGTCAGAAGTCCTAAAATCAAGGTGTCAGAAGGGCTGTGTTCCTGCTGGAGGCTTTGGAAGAGTTCCATTTCCTTGACTTTTCCACCTTCTAAAAGCTGCCTGCATTCCTTAGCTTGCGGCCCCTTCCTCCATTTTCAAGCCAGCAGAATAGCGTCTTCAAATCTCTCTCTCTTCCTCTCTGACCTCTGCTTCTGTCATCACATTTCTGCTTCTGCCTCTGACCCTCCCGCCTTCCAGTGTAATCACAAGGACCTTTGTTATTATTTTGGCCCACACAGATAATCCCAGATAATCTTCCCATCTGAAGACGCTTAACTTAATCACACCTGAAAAGTCCCTTTTGCCATAGAAGGTAATACATTCACAGATTTGGAGCATTAGGAGGTGGACCTTTGGGGAATGGGGGTCCATTATTCTACATTTCACAACATGTATGTGCGTATATACACATTTATTTATATATCTATATAACCATATTGAAAACCATGAGTTCACCTGGATACCTCCAGTTCCAACCCAACAACTACAGGGTCCATTCCAGGTTTCTCTGTTTCAATATTTGTGACTCCCTTTGCCAACAGTGAGAAACCTGTTCCCATTATCCTCAATGAGTTACTTATTTGATTTACTGCCTCCATGTGACCAGTCTCCTATTCCACTTCTGTCCTCTTAGTCATGGAGGAATGTCCTCCCACTCCGCCTGGACTCTGACACTTCACACCTGGCTGCCCTTCCACAGGGACACCCTCCTCATCCCACTCGGACTCTGCCACCCTGAGCCAGGCTGCCCCCTGCAGGAACACTGCCCTCACCCGGCTCAGGCTCTGACACCCCACCCTGAGCAGCCCTCCTGTGTGGGCACCCTTCTCACCCAGCTGGGGCCCCGACAGCTGGCTTTGACCGTCAAGACTCTCCTCTTAGGTGCTCTGGCCCACCCACTGGTTTTAGGAGCAAATCGTTGAGAGAGGGAAGGAAAGAGAAAGAAAAGCCCAAGTGACTTATATTTAGGAAGGAGAAAGGGCAGTAAAACCTTGATCGGAACAAGGGTGGGAACTGTGGAATGCTGTGGGGACGGGAGGTGGGGAGTGAGGTGGAGTACACAACAGAGGACTTGAGCCTTGAAGACATGCTCGTTCCTGGAATTGGCCCCCGTCCTTGGGCCTGTTTGCGTATTTGAGGAGTCGACTCGTATTTTTCTGGGCTGAGAAAGCTGCCACCAGCCTGGAGCCTCATCAAACCACTTTTTATTAAAAACCACCCTTTGGCTCTTATGTTTTTTATGCTGATTAAGAACACTGACTTGGCTGAAGGAACAAGAGGGCTGATTGTTGCTCTGTCTCTTGAAGCAGAAGAGGCTTTTGATCAAGTTGAGTGGGAGTTTATGTTTGAGGTACTTTAAAAAATGAAATTTGGAGATAAGCTTATGAACTGAATTTGAACTTCATTCTAAGTTCATTGAACAAAAATGTTTCAGATCCTTTTAATCTGGAAAAAGCCCGCTGCAATTGCCCTTTTAAACTCTTAGTTTTTTTTAAGATAAAGCTCTTTCTTAAATTATTTACCATTTATCTACCTACTGAGATGGGCACTTCAAAAATAAACTGTGAAGCTCAAAGATGTTTGAATTTCTTACTTTCCAAGGGCTGAGCACATTGGCTTGGGTGTCTCTCCCTTCACCCCGGCACCCAGAGGAAAGGCACTGTCTGGTGGTGACAAGGAAGGATCAGTTTCTCGGTGGCAATCTGGGGTCGTGCTTGGCTTCACAGCGCGGGACTGTGGGATAGTCACACAGAAAGCAGAAGCTTGTGGGTTCTAATCTCAGTTCCCCCACTGGCGTCTGAGTGCCTTTAGGTGAGTCATTTAATTTCCACATGTTTAGTCTGTCCCCTCCTAGACATGGAGCCAACGATACCCTCATCTGCTCATCTCCTAGAGATGTTGTAAGGGCCGATGGGTGTACAGGGCAGTCAAACGTTGCATATGTGTGTTGAGCTAAGAAAGTAAGACCATGAGCCCAGAGATGTCTTCAAGTTGGAGGTGATCTTTCCCTTCAGGAATGGGCTATGCTTATGGTGCTAGGATTTTTTGGCTATTTCTCTGTTTGTCTTATTAATTCAACTTATGCTATTATTAATTATACACATAATAATATGCTTGGTTCAACACAGATGAAGTCATCCACTTCAATATTTTTTGTGTACTTCCCATTGCCTGGCTCACTCTCTGTATTAGATTTAAGAACCTAAGTAAAAACAGAATTATGGGAAGATCAGAAAATGTGAAATATTTGTGAACAAATTCATGTCTATGGTTCTACTGTTAACTCTGAGGATTCATTTATTTGAAGAGAGGTTTCTCTTTTTATCATAAAACTTATCTGAGGGAAGCTGAGCTTCAGTTTCCTGAGTATTCGTGAAAGACACAGCTGAGTTTTTAACAGGAAGAGCTCCCGTTTGCCAATTTCTCATAGGAGGACAGTGCTCCCGAAGACATGGTATTCCACTTCATTAATTTCCATATAGCTGTTCCCTGCTAAAAATGATATTAACCTAAATGAGGCCCCTTTGCAGTGGCAAGCAGAGAGTAAGAATGAACACCATCAGTGTATCCCCAACACAGGGCAGTTAAGCCAGATTATACACAAACTGAAAACTAAACTAAAAATGATTATTTCATACTCCTGAAAAATCCTCATTTTGCGCACGTGGAAAGAATTTCTTTCCACAGCATATCCCCCACTCCATGCAGATGATCATTGCCCTCAATGACACTACTTTTGAACAGGCTGCAGCAAGAAATCTTAGCGCTTTTATATCAACCAGAGCTGCCATCTAAGTTCAAAATGCCAAGGGAAAAATAAAAAACACAAAATAATATGACACAGACTAGGAACTAAGGGTTTGGCAGCTTTGTTTCCAGTTGTTGGCTTTGGCTCTGGGTAGGGCTTCTGGTTGGCTGCTGTAGGAAAACTTTTGGACTATTTTCGACAGACAGAGCAGGCCACATGAAATTTCTATTATTACTTCAATCTTGGCTGGCTCTGGTGCACAGAATTGGCTGCCATCTGTCCGTCGTCCTGCAGCGTGTCATTGCTGAGCGATGCACGGGGACCTCCCCCAGAGCCTGCTTCAGGATCATTACCTCTTAGAGAGGAGACCATCTCCAGTAAGGTCTTCTCAATACTGTAGCTGCTGATGTTTCTGGAGGAGAACCAAGCTCAACCCAATTTTTCTTTTCTAAATCTTTGTCATTACTAACTGTGTCAAAATCTAAGGTACCAACCAGCTCTTAAGTCAGAAACCAGAAAAAATTCTATAGGATTACAACACTTAAGATTTGTGTGTATTTCTAAATATGTATCCAAGAACCAGGGAGAATGTCATCAATTCTCTAGGCAGCTCCCACAGGGAGAGCCTGGGTTTGCTCCCCAAACCTTATTTGCTCCTTCTTGGTTAAGGCGGAAGGAGGAGGCAGTTTAAAGGACCTACCTGGGATTTAAACAGAACCCGCAAAACTTCCAGTGTTTAAAAGTAATAATTCCTATGTCTTTACATGTAGTGACCTCAGCACTGAAGAAATTCCAGGGGGCTGTGGTCTCACTCGTTGATGTTCACATTTCCTGGCCTCACACACAAGAAGAAAGACTACATGGAAGAAAGAAAGTCCATTTCAGTAGACTTCGGACCATGTGGAGTCCGCTCTGTGGTGTGCCAGAAAGTTGAGGTTGACTGATTTATGTTTTTGTTGAGAATCCTGAGTTTTAGGAAAATGGAATTCAAGCTGAGGGGGCAGCTTTACTTTTGCAATGGAGTTTTGTTTCTTTGTGCTCAAATCCCATTGCCTTGGGAACCATCAAAAATGGGAGAATGATGGGGCCGGCCCTGTGGCCAGTGGTTAAGTTTGGTGCGCTCCACTTCAGTGGCCCAGGTTCACCAGGCACAGACCTACACCGCTCATCGGTGGCCAAGCGGTGGTGGCTACCCGCATATGAAACAGAGGAAGATTGGCACAGATGTCAGCTCAGGGTGAATCCTCCTGAAGCAAAAAGTGGAGGATTGGCAACAGATGTTAGTCAGGGTGAATCTTCCTCAGCAAACAAAAAGGAAGAATGATGATGAGAGATGGAACATCTTTCTCCAGATTGGTTGATAGAAAAATTGGGCCAAGAAGGAACTAAGATTGTAGAGTGTTCTAATTTTGCCACCGATTCACTAGTTCAGTAACCTGAGGAGATTATCTTTGTTGGTTCACGACTCAACCTCCCTCTCTGTAAAATTAGGACACTGATGTTCCTTACATAGGTAGTATGGCAAGAGGGTTGAGAGCATGAGTCTGGGGGGCAGAGTGCCTTGTTTGAACTCTAACTCCATCACTTCTAACTGTGCGACTTTGGGCAAGTTATTTGACACACCCTTGAGCCTCAGTTTCCTCATCTAAAGTGAGGATGACAATAGTGCCTACTTTTTAGAACTGTTGTGAGGAATACATGTCATGATATAGCTAAAATGCCTGCACGCAGTACCCACTCAGTGTTAGTGTTAGTGTTGTTTTACTTCTCTGGAGCTCGTATTGGTATTATTATTATAACCTAACCGGAGATACTGAGGTAGTACAAAGAAGTAAAGAAATAAGCACAAATAGAAGTTCACCTTGAGTCTATTTTTTTTTTTCTTTAACAGGGCATTTTGTACAAGAACCAAGATTTCAAGAACTTTTGCAAATGTGGATTAACTGGAAATGTTTCACAACCTATCTACACGTGATGTCAGCGAAAATTTAAGGAACAAGCAGAGTGATGCTGGGACAAGGAGCAGAGTGGGAGGTCCCTACCTCTGTCATCACATCCAGGGGTAGGCCAAGGCATTGGCAGGATCTCCAGCAATATCCTCATAACAATTACTTTAGGTGGAATTTGGATTTTAGAAACATTAGCTAGTTACTCGGGTGAGGTGAGCACGCTGTCACTCCGGGGGCTGGGTTAATTGCATTGCAAATAAACAAACGCTTAAAGATGATGCATTCTGAAGCGTTCACTTACAGCAAAAGGCAAGCCCAAAGCCGTGGAGATGAGGCAAGAAGTCAGGAGAAACCTGGATCTCATTTAGGTTTTGTCTTTCCTGAGCTGGCTCTTCTCCATCTATTCAGGCTTATTTTCTGCTTTTCCTCAACATACCCTCTTCATTCTCTTCAGCTCTGCTTCCCATGGACCCATAGCTATGATATGCTCAGCTTTTACTCATGTTGGCCCTCTTGGAAAGCTTCCCTTTCTCATCTTCTTTTTCATATTTTACTCATCGTTTATGGCCTAAAGCACCTGCTTTCCTCTCCGTACGTCTCTCCCTTGCTATGCTGCTTTCATGATTTCTCTCAGCATCTGGAAGAATTATATAGTCAAAAGGCTTCCATTTCCTTGCTATCCCTGCAGCACCAGGTCCCTGCAAGTGATTAATGCATGCTTTCTTTATGGCCCTCGGGGCACATTTACTGAAGGCCTGTGATGTGGCACATCTGTGCTAGCAGCAAAATATTATAAGTGGATATTATTCCTATTTCATAGATTTTTTAAAAATGAGGCTTTAAGATATTAAGTTATTTGCTCAAAGCCCCACAGCTAGCAAGTGACAAGGATGGAATTTAAATTTGAGTCTATCCTTTTTCCACCTTTCTGTAGAGAATATTGTGTGCTGAATGAGAACAAGTCACGGTGAGTGGGTAGGAGGGAAGGGAAAGGCTACTTAGAAAATCTAGAGATGAGCTTGACAGAATTGGTTACCGGATTTAGTGAGCAGTTGGGTGGGGGTGAGGTGGGCAGAGTGTTCGGGACTGAGCACACAAAAGGATGAGAGGCCAAAGGAATGCTCATGGAAGACCAGAGGGAAAGGGCTTCAAAGGTGGGCAAGGGCCATATCTCTCTGACCTCCTCTCTTGGGGGGAGACTGGTTGAAGCTTGGTCTGAGTGCTGGCCAGAGGCCTGGTGCCAGGGTGAGAGTTTCCCCAAACAGCAAAATGAGAGAACTACAGGATGAATGCAAGCTCTGCCCTTAGGAGGAGAGAAGGCCAAATTGGACTGCTCCTTCAGTCATTGAACTCAGGCACTGAGAGCGGGGCCAGAACTTGGAGACAAAGCTGAATTTCAAAAGCTAGGTGGACCCTAGAATGAAGTGGAGAGTCAAGAGTAAGTATGGGGGCAGGGCTTGGATCTTAGGCACATTTGATGAATAGAGCTGGTAGGCTGGGGCTTGTCTGAAATAGCTTCAAGGGGCAAGGGTAGACCTAGGTGGCTTGCAGGCACAGGATCTAGGAAAAGAAGATAACGAAGGGCCTTAGATGATCGTAGTAAGGGGTAGAGTCTTTAAAAAGATCTCTCATCCCTCTAACCTCAGAGTAAGTTGTCAACGGTGGGGGATGGAAGGATGGAGTGGGACTGTTGGTGGCAGAATCTGTTAAGGGCCTCCATAGAGTTGATTCATTGGGAGCAGCAGAGATATGGGTAGAATGCCCTATCCCCAAAAACTCAGTTACTACGGAGTGAAATGTGTCAGGGAGGAGCTACACTGGGTTCTCTGGAAGTCTCATGCTGTCTGTAGGAGGGCTTCTACATGGAGGCTGAGGTGTGTTTTGGAGGTTTGTGATTCCCTTCCTTTCAAGAATATTCATCTGTTCATTTATTGACTAATTATCTGTTGAGCACATAACATTGCGCTAGGTACCACTCTGGGCACTGGGAACAGTGGAGGCCAAGGCATTATAGTGGAGGAGATAGACACAGAAGAAATAAACACACAATTAAGGTATAAATATGGAAAGTGAGTGCGATGAGAGACATGATAGGAGGGTCTGACTTAGATCAGGATGAGTAGACAGGCCTCTCTGAGGAACTGATATTTAAGCTGAGATGTGATGGATGCACAGGAGTGAATGAGGCAAAGCCTGAGGGAAGAGCATTCCAGGCCAAGATAATGTGAGCAAAATCTTTGAGGTAGAAAAGAACTTGAAGTTTCAAGAGAAATCAAGAAAGTCAGTGTATCGTTGGAATTCAGTGAGCAAAGAAGTGGGGGCTAGAGAAGCAGACAGGGGCCTGGCTCTGCAAGGCTTCAGAGCCCGGGTTAGGGATTTCAGATTTTGTCTTCTATTCGAAGAGAAGCCATTAGAGAGAGTTAAACAGGGGAATGACATAAAGAGTGGATGTTTTCGAATGTGTAAAGATACACACACTGCTATGTTCACAATAGCCAAGGCTTGGAAGCAACCTAGGTGTCCAACAAGGTACGAATGGATAAAGAAGATGTGGTATTTATACACAATGGAATACTACTCAGCCATAAGAAATGACAAAATCTGGCCATTTGTGACAACATGGATGGACCTTGAAGGTATTATGCTAAGTGAAATAAATCAGAGGGAGAAAGTCAAATACTGTATGATCTCACTCATAAGTAGAAGATAAAAACAACAACAAACAATCACATAGAGACAGAGGTTGGATCGGTGGTTACCAGAGGGGAAGCGGGGAGGAAGGAGGGTGAAAGGAGTGATGGGCACATGTGTGTGGTGATGGACTGTAATTAGTCTTTGGGTGGTGAACATGATGTAGTCTACACAGGAACTGAAATCTAAAGATGTACACCTGAAATTTATATAACGTTATAAACCAATGTTACTGCAATGAAAGAAAAAGAAAAACAAAGAGTGGATGTTTTAGCTCTGACTGCTGTGTGTAGAGTGGATTGGAGAGGTGCAAATGGGGAGACCAATTTAGAGGCTATGCAGAAGTCCAGGCAAGATATGACCACATCCAGAAAGGGTGGTAGCAGTGACAATGAAGAGATGACAGTAGATGTCGGGTATACAGTATTTTCAAGATAGAATCTGCAGGGCATCATGATACCCTAGAATCTCTGAAAGTGAAACAACTCTTCAAAATTACATGGAATGTAGTGAATCTATAACTGTAAACTTTCTTTTGATGCCAAAGTTTCAGTGAAGATGCTGAATAAGCTCGTATTCTTTCCAACATCTACTAAGAAAGAAAGCACATTGTGTATCTTCTCCTGATGATCCCAGAAAGTCAGCACATTAGGTTATGAGCAGTCAAGTCTGGCGGAGTTGTGTGCTTTACTAATGTTCTCTTAGTTGCAGTCATTAATCTCTTGTCTGCTCCAGTTATATTTGTTTGTACAAGACTGCACGCTAGGTGAATTTCGCCGGATATGCGTCTCCTTGGTGAGAGAGTCACAAAGGGACAGTGGGGATGTTATATGAGCTGATATCAAGACAATACACACAGCACAGGGCAGACAGAGGCTGTACCCCTCCAGGATTGCCTGATGCTGCATGAATCTACTTGTGTTTTCCTTAGAAAAATGCTATTTCTTTCTGGCAGAGTAGCTTACTGGTATTTATTTGAAAATTTAGCTAATGATAACATAATCATACAAATATACAAATGGCCTAAGACTTCAAAGGGTCTAAAAGGAAGATATAAAGGAGAGATCTATAAAGAATTTCAATTTGCTAAACCTGGACAGAGAAGTCTCGTGGGTGAAATTTTCTGTTATAAATGTGTTTGTGTTGAGGTTGTGTTTTTGAGGATGTAGAAAAAAGTATAAAGCAACAACAAAATAACCTTTTTTTCTTTCCAGTCACCTCTCCCCACCCACTTATAATCCAGGAAAACAGTGTAAAAGGAAGAGCCAGAGGGAGGGCAACACTACCCCCTCTTTCTCCTCCTGCTGCTGTCTTCCTTACTCTCTCAAAGCATCAGGGTCTTCAAAAGAACTGCTGGAGGATCAGTCCTGTGGGAGTCTCTCTGGAGATGCTGTACGCGAGAACATTGCACGCTTCACTAATCCGGAGTGTTGAGATGGCAGCAGCGGGCAAGTGGGAGGAATTCTAACAAACTAGGAAAGATAAATATCTCTGCCTTGTCCTTTGGAGACTGAAGTCAAGGATCTGGAACTAGGACACCAAAGTGAACACATCAGAATGATGAACAGGGCCCGAGGGAAACTTGAATGTCCCTGCAAGAGAGACAGGGCCTGGGTTTTGAGGTCTCTTTCCTGAGAGCTCCAAATAGAACAGGAGTTAAGAGAGACTGAAGAAGAATGGGACATGGAGCCAGGAGAAGCAAGCATCATCAATTCACAGCTGGGAGGTGTCCATTTTTCTCAGTCTTCGTGGGTCTGAACGGTTCTACCTACCTAATGAAGGGGGTGAATCAGCCTCCCATGAGATATCTTTTTCTAAGCTAGAAATCAAAGTACCTGTTCTAATTACCATTGAATAATGAAGAGCTCAGTGGAACTGACATTAAAATACAATTTATTGTGAGTGAACCATCCAAGGGCCTTCAGTATCATTTTTCTTTTTTTTTGGCTTGAGGAAGATTCGGCCTGAGCTAACATCTGTGCCAATCTTCCTCTGTTTTATATGTGGGTCACCACCACAGCTTGGCTGATGAGTGTTATAGGTCCACACCCAGGAACCAAACCTGGGCCACCGAGGTGGAGTGCACCAAACTTAACCACTAGGCCATGGGGCCTTCCCCTCAGTATCATTTTTAATAAAAAGAAAAATTAGCCCTTTCTTGTTCAGTCTGATGTAACAGAAGGAGAGTCTAGTCTTTCTATTTAGAAAAATCTTGGTTTACGTTTATCAACTGTGTGAACTTGAACAAGTTCCTGCTAGAATATAAGATCCATTAGCTCAAATTCACCAATAAACCAGCATGTAGTAGGCACTCAATAAGTATTTGCTAACTGAATGAACTCATTTGCATTTCCAAATCTTGGTTTCCTCATATTGAAGAGGGAAATACAATACCTCAAATGGTTGTCATGAAGATAATGGATGATGTATTGTAAAATACCTGACCAGAGAAGACAGTCTGGTTAGAGAGAACCTTGAAATAACTTCAGTTGTATTTCTGTCTCCAGGCATGCTTTGTTCTTGTCTCTTTCTCTTTCAGGTTTTGTATTTGGCTTGCTCTTACCAGTTTGCTTATGAACCTTTTATC